CCCCCCCCCTGTTAATGATGGGGAATTTGGGATTATATGACCCCTAATAGAACTGCAAACGTACACTTTTTGGGGCTTATGAACTCAGCAACTAAGTTGAACAGGAGAGTAGGGGTACCATAAGGTTCCACAAGGGCTGTATAGGGCTTAAGGCCTATTGGGTTGAGAGGCCTTTGGGCTTGTGGGACATGGGTGGCTTAGTAAGTAGGCTTTGGGTACCGCCCCCCAATTTGCAACAGTTGGAGAGTATTTGTGATATACTTATATCTAACTCTCCGTATGACGACTCCTAATCTAGACTGTTATGGGGTCGGGGGCCTTAGTAGTGAGTTAGAATAGGGTTCTTTGTTAACATGCGTTCTAGATTCAGGCTCGGCAATGCCACACTTTCCAACGTATTCAGGCCAGGAGTAACTGTTGCCAACCTCAGCGAGCAAGACCTGATGGAAGGAGCACGTTACCTCAGACCAGCTCGACGACTTCAAGGAGAACCGCGTGAACGAGGCGTACAGCTGTTCTGAACGCGTGGTGGTCCAAGGCATGGACCACCTTCTGTGGTCGTTGAATGTCATGGTTCGTTTTTTTCGAGACGGTTTCGTTGTGGACTTTACCTTGTCCACTGGGGAGCGGCTTGCAGGGCCTGTGCACGCGCAGTGGTTGCAAATGGAGCTGACCTGAGAGTCACCTCATTGGACTTGCGCTCAGCTTGCAAGCAGCTCCCTCTTCACCTTGGTTTGGATACTACGGGTTTTACAAGCGTTGTCCCCAAGATATAGTAACAGTGTCTAAAACAAGGCAGGTCAGGGGATGTGTATAGGGTTTAGGGGTTGAGGCCTAAACCCTGAACCCTGGATCCTAAACCCTAACCCTAAACCCCTAAACCCTAAACCCTTAAACCCTGAACCCTAAACTGTGAATCTGCAGGTCCGTGGATCAGGCTGCAGTACAGGAGTTGAAGAAGGAGCGGGACAAGAAGGAAGGCGACCACGCACCTTGCCCGCCGTTCGAGTTTTTGTGTGGCATTTCAAGTTTTTTGGGCCGGGGGTTTAGGGTTTAGGGGCTTAGGGTTTAGGGTTTAGGTCTACATAAAACAGGCAAACCATGAGCCTTGAATGTAGGCAAAGACGGTGCATACGGATTGTATGTACTGCACTCACTAGGCTATCATAGCGTGGATGTCCAAGTATAGGGATCCGGTGCTGCCGGCCTTTGTTTTTGGCAAGGTCCTTCCGTGTTACCGAGCCCACACTTAACAAATTTCTGGAGTCTGAAGCAAAGGCAGCGCGAAGTCTTAAGTCCCACCCTAGTTACCGCGACTGCGTTAGCTTTTCCTTCTTTCGGCTTACCGTGTCAGTTTAAGGGCTCTCCCTAAACCTTAAACCCTAAACATCTTGCCTACCTTCCATCGCGGAGTGGAGTTAGTTCTGCCGCTCTTGGGTATGCTTCCACTATGGAGTGAGACTTGGGGTTCAGGGTTGAGGGTTTTAGGGTTTAGGCTTTTAGGGTTTTAGAGTTTTAGAGTTTTAGGGTTGAGGGTTTAGGGGCTAAGGGTTTAGAGACGTACGGCTTCGTTTATGAAACTCTCGAAGGACGCGTTCGTGCCTACCTGCTATGGGGGGACCCTAGACCCTACACCCTGAGGGTTTAGGGTTTAGGG